GTGAAGACAACCAAGAAGCCAAACCATGCCTTCCAGTCGGCAGGCTGGAAGACAAAAAGAGCAACCACGCCCCCCCCCCCCCCCCAGTACACAATGGGAAGTCAGGCAGAGATGATAGCAACTCAAGTAAAAAAATAATGCTTGCTTTTAATTACTTGACTGACTTTGCAGGCCTAAAGTTGGTAGTTTGGTCATCTATTTGGAGGATAACAATATGCAATATAGCAAATGTAGGGGTTTCCTTCTGTCTTGTTTTTTAAATTCTATGTTTTGTTCCATTTTACTGTTTCTGTGCCTGGTAACTTGACCAACTATTTTGAAGATAACAAAATGCAAAATATGCAAAATAACAACCATCATTAAATTCCTATCATCTTGTTTTGAAAACCTATAGAGCTATTGTTGTTTTGTGGTTGCGGCTATTGTTTTGCTTTAGTTTATTTTGTTTGTTTTTGGTTTGTTTGTGTCTTGATTTTTCTAGGCTTTTTTTTCCTCTTTAAAAAAAGAATCAAAAAAGTAGGAAACAAAAATAAAGAAAAATCAATGAAATCAACAGCTTCAAGAGTTTAGGGCAGGCTGATAATGGAACAAATGAGAATAGACAAAATTACCAGTATCAAGAATGAGAGCCGACAGCATTACAGATTTTAGTAAAAGGACAAGTAAATACTAAGTACAATATTACATCAATAAGTCTAAGATAAAACAGACAAAATTCTCAAAATATACAAATTACAAAAGCTCATCCAAGAAGCAATAACTAATCTACATAGTTCAACATCCAAAGAAACTGAATTTATATTTAAAAATCTTCCTACAAAATTCCAGGTCCCGATACTTTCAGTGGTGATTTCTAAATGTTTAAAGAAGGGCTGGGAGTTTAGCTCAGTGACACAAGTGCCTGCCTGGCAAGCACGAGGTACCAAAAAATAAAAAATAAATATTTTTAAAAGTTACAATGTCAATTCTACACACACTCTTCCAGAAAACTGAAGAGGGCATCCACTGTAATTCCACTGGAGGCCAATACTACTTTAGCATCAAAACTACACAAAGATTACAAGAATACAACAAACGTATCTTTTGTGAACAAAGACATGAAACTTCTCAGAAAAACTTAAGTGCACTTGAGAGTTCCACCTATATACTCAACAATGCATAAAAATAATACAATACAACCAAATGGGGTTTACCTTGCCAAGAAATGCAAGGCAGGTTTAACTTTAAAAATTAATGTAATTCACCACATTGAAAGACTAAATATAAGAACTATAAGGTAAACTGTAACTACAAAACTTCTCTAAGAAAACCTAAGAAAAGAACTTAGTGAACTTGGCTTTGGCAAAGAGTTCTTAAATACAATACGAACAGCAGAAATGTGAAAAAAGTTAACACGGCATATAGTATCACAATTTAAATATTTAAGGCAGTGCTAAGATGTGAAAATGCAAACTACAGACTATGAGAAAATACAAAGGACACAGCAACCTAAAGAAGGCTACCCAGAATGCACAGTATAAATAAACTCTACAATCAGTAATAAGACAACCCAATTTAAAAATAGGCCAGGTATGGTGGCACATGCCTATAATCCCAGCACTCAAAGGGGTGAAGCAGGAGGTTCACCATGAGTTTGAGATCAGCCTGGGCTACAAAGTGAGATCAAAGCCAGCCTGAACTGCATAGTGAGACTCTATTTCAAAAGACCAAAAAAAACCTAGTCTGTACAGTCAAGATGATGAATGGAAGACAAATAAGCACCTAAACTCAGTAACATTTGCAGGTTTAAAACCACCATAAAATGACACTACAGTAGAATCTCTAAAACTTGAAACAAAATAAACCAAGTGTTGGCAAAGAAGCAAAGCAACCAGAGTTCTCAGACGGAGTGCATGTCAACAGAAAGGGCACAACCAATTTGGAAAAATAAGTAAGTTTCCTTTCTAAATAATCACATACCTACCACACAATCCAATTATTTCACCAGTAACTTTTTCCCCTAAAGAAACAGAAGCATACACTCACACAAAGACTTGCACACAGATGTCCACAGGTTTTTTGTAACAGCACAAAAGTTGAAATGATCCAAATGTTCATATATCAAGAAAATAAACAAAAGGTGTGCCCACAATACAGAATACTATTGAAAAATAAACTACTGATACTCATAACAAATAAATCTCAAAATAATAATGCTACATGCAAATAAGCCAGGTTGAAAAGGGTATATGATGTACAATGCACTTCACACAAAATTCTAGAAAATGAAAATTTATCATTAGGGTCAGAAAACAAACAGTAAGTAGTTAATAAAAGATGGAACAATTAAAAAGGGGCAGGATAAGTATTTTAGAGGTGACGCTTGCCTTTCCTGGCTTCAAGACACATTGCATTAAATTATATATTCTATATTTCACATTGCATCATGTGTACCTCAGTAAAGCTTCAAAAGAAGGGAAGAATTAGAAAGGGGTAAAGAGCTAGGGAATGAGAGAGGAAAAAAGAAAAAAAAATCAGTTAATCTAGAAAGACCAATATCCAAAATTTAGAAAGCAAGAAAAAAAAAGGTCAAGAAATAAAAATTATTCCCTAAAACTAGAACATAGTAGAGTTCAGATTTCTAATCAAAACAAATTTAAATTTAAAAATGAAACCTATACCTAGATACATAGTAATGAAAATAAATAAAACTCTGAAAGAAAAGCTGAACAACATAAAATGAAAGTGAAAGCATTAAAAATTTAAGATCAAGGCTTTCTTGGTTTCCATACTGCCCTAGCATTTACTATTAACAGTGATCTTAGGTGTGTCACTCCACTCTTCTATTTGTTTTCTGATCAGTAATAACAAGTAATAATAGTAGGGGCTGGGGATTTAGCTTAGCGGCATAAGCGCCTGCCTTGCAAGCAGGCAGTCGTGAGTTCGATCCTTGGTACCGATAAAAAGGAAAAAGACAAAAAAAAAAAACAACAAGTAATAATAGTCATGTGGGTGGTAGGAGTCTCTAACAAGTTAGCACCTGTAAAGTGCTTAGAATATAGTAAATGTTAAGTATTGGTTAAATAAGAAAACACAATTAACATTGGACTTGTCATCAACAATACTAAATAAATTAAAGAACAATATTTCGACGTTTTGAGGGAAAGTAACTTTGGGAATTGAACTCCATTAGTCTAGCTAGGAATCTTTCAAGTGTATTGAGATGTGTAATGGAGATATTTGAGGGCCTACAATGACAGAAAACTCACATCCCAAAAAGACATTTCTTATGAAGTCAACTGAGAATAAAAACCAAGGAAAGATTCAGTCAAGAAAGATGATGACCCACAAAACGGTACTTCCACTGAAAATTCGCATGGAGCAGCATTCCAGCATGCCCACACAACCACCAGGAGTGACAGCAGCCGGAATAAGGGCGACTCCAAAGAGGAGTCTCCAGGAAGAAAGCGAGCTTAACACAACGCCTGATAAAACTGCTTTTGTGGAGAAAAGTGAAAGTGGAAAAAGGAAAAGCAGCAGCTTACGAATCTGTATCACGGCAGACCAACACTATTTGATTTCGTAGCTTTTAGCAACAGACTTGTACAGTATGACCAAAGCCCCAACAATTCTGGATACTAATAATGACAAAGTACAGCAGGCAACAGTGAGGTGAAGGGTAAGGCCGGCAGGGGCAGAAAAGCTAACACCAGCATCAAAAGCCCGGCGAGTCAAACGGCCCTTTGTAAAATTGATAAAATTGGGGCTGGGGATTTAGCTCAGCGGCATAAGCGCCTGCCTTGTAAGCAGGTAGTCGTGAGTTCGATCCCTGGTACCGATAAAAAGGAAAAGGACAAAAAAAAATTGATAAAATTTTTAAAAAGCATTACTTAAAGTTACAAAATTAACCAATGGAAGAAATAAAAACGATGACTTACTGCCTGAAGATGAGGGAAGGCCTATTACAGCGAGAATTAGACCTAAAACTGATAAATCAAGTATAAGCACATTTAGAGACGGAGCCAAAATAGTTAAAAGTGGCGGTCTCTGGGGAGAAGAAACAGTTTGGGAAAGGGTGGACCAAAGAACTGCTGCTTTTTATTTGCTTAGCACTATGATAATGTAGTCTAATTTTACAAACAATCCAGCACTGCGCTTATTAGTAACTTCTTTCATGAGAGGACAAGACGTCACTCAAACAAGACTATCGACTTGAAATTCAAAATCAAGATCTTTGCCATCTAAGCAAAAGAAAACTTCACAGCAACAGGTAGATACTGACGTCAAAAACCGAGGACAGGAGGGGACGTGTGATGTCCCGAACTTTCCCAACTCAAATATTCTAAGAGCTCACCGTCGAACTCAGGGTGATGGAAATGATAAAACTCAAAAATGGCCAGAAGTCTTCCTACATTTTAGCAAACAGAAAGCATCTTCTTTTACTATCCCTGAAAATGTTAAACTGCCTAACATTCAGGACACAAAGAGGGCACTTATCAGATCTCCGTGAGGTCGCAGCCCTCTCCAACCTGCTGCTTTCTAATCAAAATCTGACAACAGCAACAAAAGGTCTTACTCCAATAATAAGCAACAGAAAAGCTCGCCGCACGGCACGGCTTTACAAGCGGAGGAAAAGCACATTGGGCACCGCAGACCCTACCAGGGCGGCTTCCCGGGCTCCAAGCCTTCAGCGAACCCTAGTGGGCGGTCCGGGCGAAACAAAGCGTGGGCGGGGCCTGCGGGGAAGCGCAACGCGGGACGGAGAGGGCTGCCCAGTCCTCTCCCCGCGGCCCCGCCCCGCCCACACGCCCCGGCCCGGGACCCCAGCCACATCCCCCCGGGGGGCGGGACGGCCGCAGCTCCGGCGCGGCTCCCCGCGGCCGGGCGTCGGAACCGACGCCGAGGCCTACACACGGTGAGCCAGGGTTCCAGCACGCCGATCGCCCAGCGCCTCCTCACCTTTTCTTCCACGCAGTTGACAATGATGGACGGGTACTTGCGGCTGAGCCAGCGGAAGAACGCCGGGACTCCCATAGCGGCAGAGGCAGCGGCCCGGCCGGCAAGCCGTGTAACCAGAGAGACCGGCAGGAGCAGCAGCCGCGGGCACCGGCACTTCCGCCCACGTGCGCGTCGCGGCCGGAAGTGACGAAACGCGCCGCCGCGGGGAATGCCGGAGTGGGCGCAGCCAGGTGAGGCGCGGCGGTTGGTGAACGCGGAGCCTGTGGGTGCTCCCGGCTGTGTTGCTCTCTGCGGTCGCGGGTCTCGAGATGCGAGCGGGCTCGTCTCCCACCGGGCTCCCACCTCCGGGTCGCCGCGCCCCGCGGACCTCGGCGGGGGGAGCTCCCCTTGCCCTTTGGGTCAGTTTTCCCTTTGGGAAAACGAAACTTATTTTACTTTTTTTTTTCCCACTTACCTCGACAATCAGATCGAACTGTCAGAGGCCCCGCGTTAGTTCCATTTCCCGATTTCTCACGGTTCGGTGCCACGGTGCGAACCAGGACTATGAGACGGAGCATTTGAAAGTGTCTTACAGTAACGACTGTTTGCGTAAATTAAAGCAATTACAGAATGTAGCCAGCAGTGAGCATCAAGTACAAACTTCTAGTTTCACTTAACGTGTATTTAAAAATTGCTAAATTTGTGTGTAATTTTATTGACGTCAGAATGTGCTAAGACATTGACCAAGAGATTCTAATACATTTGAGCCCACTGAGGCACCGTCGTCATCCCCTGGTAATGTGTACGGTAATGGATAGGAAAGTCAGCCTTGCAAGGGTTCTAAGTCCTTTGCTTTTTTCAGTATATGTTTCAGTTAAAGCAAAAATCATTAAATCTCCTGTCCTTGGACTAACATGATACTTTTATTCTTAGTTTCTGATGGCAATATATTATGGGGGAGGGGGGGTCAAGAAGAGGTGGCATTTATGACCATTTGCTGGGCCCAGGGAGACTCTTAGTCTCTCTCTCCTGAATCCCCTCTGGGCTTCACAAATCACACTCTATCCTAAAGGCTCATTTCAAGAGGTCTCTAGGAAAGTGCTTCTCCTGTGCTACCAGGCAGCAATATTCATTGCTCCCTCTGTGGCCTGATGACGCAAGTGCCTGTGTGTGTGTGTGTGTGTGTGTGTGTGTGTGTGTGTGTGACACCGGAAATTGAACTCAAGTCCTCAAGCTTACATAAATTAATGCAAACTCATCTTTATTGTGCCACTTAACTACATCCCAGCCCCCCCTTTTATTTTTCAAAAAAATGTTAAGACAGTCCTGCCAAATGGAGAATATAGAGGTGTGATTACCTCATAGTTTACTTAAGGATAGTTAAAACCTTCCAGAATATTTTATCTGTGTTGAAATTTCACATTTTACCTGGAAATGGCCTTGTTCCTCAAGTACTTGGTTTCCTTAGGAGGTACAGTCTTTTTATAGGAACACACATTATAATTGATACAAACATAAGCTGCTGACCAAGATGAACCATTCAGGTTTGTGCCCAGAATTAGTGATCTTTGAACCATGAAGAATATAAGACAGCCCCTCCCATATAGTCAACATGCTATATAAGATAAGAATCAGAACTTCTTGCTAGTCTACAATGAGAGAAACAGGTTCAAGTCCCTTGTCTTAGTAGACTTTAAATTCCTGTTCAAACCTTCCCGTCCTACAGTTTCGTTGGTAATCTTGTCCTCTGAGTCAGTGAACCAAACAAATCTTTTGCGCTATACTTAAGCAGGAATAGTCTAAGTTCCTATTCCTTGCAAAGGAAAGAGTAAAGAAACAGGCAACAAAATTTGAGATGTGCACAGCTAACTTGCCTACATGCTGAAAGTGCTTTGCATAAAAGAAGTACAAAACCTGGAAGTTTTGGAACTCTGAGAAAAGGAGAGTGGAAGGTAGAGATGAATGTCTGAAAGGTAGTAGGAGGATGTAGACTAAGCTGAATGTATCCTGTCAGATTCAGGCTTAGTGTGGGCTTTTCTTCTTGTAGAAATCAAAGAACGAGTCTCAGATTGGGATTACCTTGAACCATAGCACAGGACTGGGAAACAGCAGAGATGAAGAAGATGAGAATTTGAGTGTAAGAAATGAACATCAGTAATGAACTAGACCTTGGACTTCTGTAGGCTGAGAATCCAGCTGACATCTGGATTACATTAATGTGAAGATAATATGAAAAATATGTATATACAAAATCAGAATATTCATAGACATTCATAAATTCATTTTAAGCCCATTAACATGATAATTATTGTAGAATTGATTTTGTCTATTTTTGGTTTTGGATTATCAGTTGCTTTTTTCCCTCTTGATCCTTACAAAGTTCATTGTGACTATTTCGATGCACTTAAAATAATAGTGACATTAATTTCATGTGCCTACTTTACTGGACCAGTGTGTTCAGATATTCAGTTAAAAATTATTCTGGGTGTTTTTAGAAAGTCATTTTTGGATGAGATTGACATTTTTATCAGTAGAGAAAAACAGATTGCTTTCCATAATGCAAGTGGTCCTCTTCCAATCAGTGGAAGGTCTCAGTAGAACAAAAAGACCAGCCCTCAAAAGAGAGAGAATTCTCTGGGCTATGTATTGCCCCTAGGCACCTCCACTATTAGTTGTTGTGAGTCTTGAACTTGTCATCCAGCACTGCAGATTTGGATTTGCTGGCCCTCGAAGTCATTGTACCAGATCATCATCCTCTGAAGACAGACAGATACCTATAGAGTCTTACTCTGAAGAGTCCTAATACAGTAGTTTTGTTTACATGTGAATTTGTTTTGTGCATTTTGCTGTTTCATATCAGATAAACCTGTGAATAACTCACAACACTAGATTAAAATCGAATGGAGATTTTTAGTTTTCTTTTTAATGCAAATTTTAAAAATATAGGATTTAGAAACTAAAATACTTTGCTGGTAAAAATATGCTAAATCAAGATTTATGAAGTTATGCAAAGAAGGTTAAGGCTATTTTTACAGGGATAAATGCAGGAATCAATGAAAAACAAATCCCAAAGAGAGCCACATACTCACATTTGTATTGAACACTTAAAAATCAATAGGTGTAGGGGCTGGGGATTTAGCTCAGCGGCATAAGCGCCTGCCTTGCAAGCAGGCAGTTGTGAGTTCGATCCCTGGTACCAATAAAAAGGAAAAAGAAAAAAAAAAAAATAGGTGTTACAGTATAGAGAATTGGAGAAGGGACATTTAAAAAAATAATTGTTTGATTTGATTTTATTATGTGTGATGGTATGAACAGCTATTTTGAAGAAAACAAGACCTTATGACAGCCATTGCTGATTTAATATCATCTTGCTTTGAAGTCCTACCATGCTTTTGTTCTTCTGTTTCCATTAGTTCTATCATGTTGTATCTTACTGGATTTTAACATATGTGATAGTATAAACAAATTTTTATGGAAAAAGAGATAATGTAGTAGCCATTGTTCATTTTCTGTTATTTGATTCTGAATGCCCTGTAATACTTTCATTCTCTTGAATGGTTTTATACTATTTTATGTTCGATACTATTGTATGTGAAGGTATGCTCAACTATTTCAAAGAAAGAGACATTATGGTAGCTATTAGGTTGTCTTGTGGTGAAGTACTGTGTTGCTTACATTGTTCTGATCTGCTTTGTTCTGTCCTTTTTTGTCTTAATCCCTTTAAAATAAAAAAATTAAAAATAATAATTGTGCTAGAATAATTTCTTATCTAAATGGAAAAAAATGAAAGTGTGTATCATCTCTAAAACTTTTAGAAAAACAAAAACACAAGTTGAATCATAGTCCTCCTTATGAAAGGCAGAATTATAAAGCTGTTGAACATAATCTAGGATTATAGCTTTAGAAGCTGTGGATGAGAAAGATGTGACAAGCTCTGGCCATAAAGAGGCTGATAAAATGTTACACTATCATTAAAAGCTCTAGCTCACAAAACATGATAAAGACAATAAAAAGACCAACAGCAGAGTTATAAATAATATTTGCAACACACACCGAGAGAATTTAAACACAAAATAATTAAGTAACTCTTAGAACAGAAAAGCCAACAGAAAAATAGACTAGTCTTTATAATGTGATAAATCCTTAGCCAAAGAGAAAATCCAGATGACCAATACATGAAAAGGTGTTCAAACTCCGAGGAAATACAGCAATTGCAAATTAAAGCCACACATCTAGCAAACCAGCAAAAGTTAGAAAGACTACTATACCAAGTGTGGGTGAAGAGACGAAGCAACAAGAACTTTCATTCTGCTGTTGCTAGAAGTACAAACTGATGACCTGTCTTAGAAACATTTGATGTCATCTAAGATTAAGGAGATGCTCTTCTACATGGCGTTCTATGCTTTTTATGTCTAGAGAAGCCACATCTTGATTGCCACGGTCCACTTGAGAGGTTTGGGGCAGTTTAATTGACCAATGCCTTAGTTTCCCAAACACCATGGGTGGCTGGAAACTTTGTAAGATCAAATCTATCTTCTTCCTCCCTTCCTTGTATTTCCTGCTTCTCCCCACTATGCACTGTGTACACTGTTAGTGCTCCATTTGCCTTGTCATCAATTGACACTCTCATCCTCTCTTCTCCTCTCCCAGCACGAGCTCAAGCTGCCTTTCACCCACTCCTCTTCCATGTGGCTTCAGCTATCCTGCATGTGGTGTTACACTTCATACTAGCTCAGCTGCAGTCTGTGAACATTCTCTCCCGTCATGTTCCTTTCATGGGTCAGGATGAGATGGGTTTTGCTGCAGTAGCAAGTGATGCCCTTGGTTCTGTCAGCTCAACACGTGACCACTGTAGTCACTGCCAGAGGGAAGATAGGAATGTGATCATTATGTGTATCTAAAATATACCAATAAAACTAATTTAAACCAAAAGGAAGACAGGGCAAGAAGGCTATACTCTGTGGTTTCAAGGGCGAGGCATGGTGGTGAATTTCAGTGCTTTCACTCATGTATGCCTGGCCCAGCCCTGTCACATCGCCCTTGCCCAGTTGCAGAGAGACTGGGAAACCATCTTCCTGGTGCCCAAGGACAGAAAAAGAATGTAAGCTTGGCAGGCACATGGCATTGCCTCTGGCACCCTCATTTAGCTGCCAATCACACTATTAAATAGCCATTCAAGAGCCAGTCTCTGCTGTGTATCTTGGGCATCACAAGAAAAAGCCATTGCCCTTAAAGTAGTGAGGCCAAGATACAAACCACCAAACGTGAAGTATCAAGACTTACATAATGGTTTGACGAATAATAAGCTACCCGCAACGGCATAGAATGACACCGAGGCTTGGGATATTAAGTTTTGGTTGGTAATGAGGCGTGGAGGAATCGTTAAATTCCTTGAAGCAGAGATGTGACTTTTGTGTTAGGTGGGTGTCCAGGAGACTCAATAAATACTTTCATTGAATTCTTGGAGTGGTCATTCTCAAAGTGTATCCCAGAGATTCAGGGATCTGCGAGACCGAACCTGTTTTTGTCATGTCGGGCTGTTTACTGTTTTCTGTCCAAAGGTGGGGAGAGGCTCTGGCTGAGCAGCCTTGCAGCAGTGGTGACAGAAGGAGCTGGACAGTCTACTCAGGGTGGAAAGGAGATCCAAAGTTACAACAGCACCTTTAGCTAACAAGCCTTTTTTTATGGGAAAGCACTGTTACTTTATTACAGTGTTTGTGATGTTACCATGTATTTTTTATTGTTCTTTTGAAGATTTTTGTCTTTATTGTAAGTGATTCAATAAATTAGTTTTTAAACATTCTCTCAGGCTTGATTTCTTTTTATTTATTTTAAAGAACAAGACAGAACAAAGCCAGTTGAGACAATGCAGTGAAATTGGTACAGAACTTCACAGCAGGATACCAGGATAACACTAATAGTACCATAGTATATCTCATTATCTTCACAATTGTCGTCCATTCAATCAGGTATAACGAAATGAAACCAAAAACAGAACATTACAAAACAATAGAGAATACTGAATAGAGCAAAACAATCATAACAAAACAAAAGTGAAAACAACATTTGCCTTCAAACAGAAGACTGAAGGAAATCCCCCCTATTTGCTGTATTGTATACGGTCATCCTCCCAAGAGATGCTCTGCCCCCAGTTGCTGACAGAGTGGTGGGGAGGGATGGGGCGTTTGATTCTCAGCCCATATGCTGGTAGGCTCATGGGAGCCGCTGACTGGTTCTCCTCCTGGGTCGCATGGGGGCACTTTACCAAGAAGGCGGGTGAATTCCTTTCTTGGTCAGCTGCCTAAGTTCCACCATGGCCGGATCTTGGGAGCCACTCTCAGGCTTGATTTCTAACACAGCAAATATCAATAGACCCAATCCACTTAAGCTCCTTGGGCTTCTCAGTAATTTTTGAGTCCTGAGACCAAAAATTTTGAGAAGTTGTGTTTTAGAACATGAAACTGAAGATGGGAGTTCCTGGAACTCATTCAAAGCAACCCTTTCAAATTCCTATGATGTTTATATCTCCAGACCTGAACCAGTGTGCAGCCTGTGTGTTCATAGGCAGTCCTTCCTGGTGGAGCTCTACAGGGCAGCTCAAAACAAGGAGGCACAAAAGTGTAACACAAATGGAACTAATGTGGAGGATGTATTGTTAAGGCCTGTGTGCCTATGCCCATCTCAGTCTCTGTAGCTGCCCACGCTAAATTCTCTAATTCTGAGAATCTTTTTTCTCTTCCTTGCATCCCTCGGGTGTTCTGGGGAATGGTGCTGTAGACATGTTGTGAAATGATGCTACTACGTATATAGAAAAGTGTGCACACTGCTAGGGAGCCAACTTTATGCAGATGTCACTAGGTTTCCAGAAACAGGACAAGATGAAAACCACAGGTCTAAATTCATCCTTGTTATTACTTGGATTTAGTTGACAAATTCAATGCTCTAATATATAACCCCAAACAAGGAGAGCCTACTAGAACATGATTTGCTTGTAAAAAAAAAAAAAAAAGGTGTAAGATGATGTAGATCCCGCTCTATGAAAGGATCCTACTACATTTCATTCCCTAATACGACGTTTGAGAAAATCCTGGCAGATTTCCATTTCAGGCCTCAGGTTGTATTGTCTCCTAAAGGAAAAGACAGGAATTGACAGAAGCCTTATGTGTTGAAGAGTTGAACAGTTGTAATTCCCTCTGGGGTATAAACAGAAACAGCTGGACAGAAAAGGCCTCATTTAAAGGATAATAAAGTGTAAAGCGCTCACAAGTGTTGAAGGTAAAGACCTCAACCTTACGAGCTGATAAGCAGGCCCAGACTTTTATTCGTAGTGACATGAGTGACATTTATCTGCCTCTCACTGGAACATCTAATCCACTTGTCAAGGTGTGTCTCACACGGGGACCTGATTTCTGGTCAGAGCTGGCAGGCTTCAAATACAAATGTGACTGCCCTGGCTGAAATTCCTGATTGGGAAAAAAAGTCACTGGGGGATGAAATAATCAGGGAACCATATCAGCTCCATTTCACTGAGCCTCGGAGAATACATTGCCCAAAGAGGGTGTTGGCTTTGAGATAGAGACTGGTCTGTCAATTCAAGTTGGACTGGAATGAATTGCCGAGGTGTTCTCACTCCTTTTATTCCCTCTGTAGGATCATTTTAGAACTGTAGAGGTCTCTTCCTTACCCCGAATTTTTGACCCAGTTGGGTTTCAGGAAAGGCCAGCTCGGACTAGGGCCACCCTGACAGCAAGGAATGGCAGAGGCCCCAGGGTCAGACACACCAGAGATGAAGAGCATAGGAACACTTGGGTAAGTAGCAATAAGCAGTTTGAATAGTAGAGGAAAGAAAAATAAAGCCATAACTATTTACAAATGAATTAGGCAGGTGTTACCATAAAAGTTCAAAGAAGGCAAAGAAGAAAGTGTGGGTAGGGAGGCAAGAATTCATGGTGGAAGTGGGACTTAAAATAGTTCCCGATGGAAAAGATTAACGAGGCCTTCACCAAACCATGTGGTGTTGGTTCCTTTCTCCCCTCCCTCTCCTCCTTCCATCCTTCCCTTCCCTTCCCTCTCCTCTGCTTCTGGGCCATATTCTCTCTTGGCCACCAAATTCATCTCCCCACATCATGGACCTGTCCCTCAGCCTCGTCCTAGATCACAAGCACCTCGGGAGAGACTTATTTTCTTCTCTCTTGTGCCGAATTGGGTCCAGATAAAATTGGTTTTGTTTTCATGCAGAACTGGGGATGAATCTGGGGCACCCTACCACTGAGCTACATCCCCAGCCCCTTTGAGTTTTTGAGACAGAGTCTCACTTAGTTGCCCAGGCAGTCTTCAAACTTGCAGTCCTTTTGTCTCAGCCTCTCAAGTAGCTGAGATTACAGGTGCCAAGCTCTAGGTTGTTTTTTTTTTTTAAATTAACTTTATTGAGGCTTAACTTGCACATATTAAAATGCATCAGTTTAAACCTGTGGTTCAATGGGTTTTGAAAAGCATGTATATTGAAACTCACCCCTATGCTCAAGACAGAATGGTTTGATCACCACAATGTCTTTTGTGCTTTTCTGTAGAGTCCCTCCCTGTCCCTGGCGTTAAGCAATCATTGGCCAGGTTTTGGTCTCTGTAGATTAAAAGTCTTTTCCCTACACTTTTGTACCAATGAAATCCTAACATTTCATAGTCCTTGGTCTGCCTTCTTTCACTCAAAACAGTGTTCTCAAAAAGGTCCATGTTGTGTAGATCATTTGTTGATTTGTTTGTTTTTTCAGTACTGAGGATCAAACACAAGACTGAGCACCAAGTACTGTACTACCACTGAGTTATACCCCCAGCCCAGTTTTCAAAAGTTTTTTCTTGCTGTGTGGTATTTTGTGTAGACGTGCCACAGTTCCTTTGGTCATTCACTTTTTGATAAATATCTGGGCCATTGCTAGTTTTTTTGGAATAAAGCCACTATAAACATTCACATGTCTTTCTATAGAAATACATCTTTATTTCATTGAAGCAAAGTCCTAGAAATAAGGGTTGCATAGTAGCTGAGTAACTTTGTAAGAAATCATTAGGCTGTTTTCTAAGCAGTGTGTGCTATTTTATTTGCATATAATGCTCGATGGTTATAGGAGTGGGTATTACTGTCACTGAAGAAAATCTGGAGGTCTCTTTTAGTTGTTTTTGTTTTCTCTTTTGTCAAAGTGCTGGTATTAAAGTCAGGCCTCATGCTGCATGCAAGGCAAACATGCGTTAGCTAGCTGCATCTGGCTACGTTTCGGGGAATGGATTTTACACTCAAGACCTGTCTCTGGGTTCCCCACACCAGCCCTGTTCCTCCTCTCTCACTGTACTCTTGTGTCATGGCTCCCTTTTCTCTCTCACATCACTGAGCTACACCTAGCATGATGTCCAGGACTGTGGATAGTTTTACACCAACCAAGCGGGTGTTCACGTGGCCTGTGACACACAATCACAAGCCAGAGGGGCCAAGGTTAGATCCAGAATGAGACATGAAAGTCATCACATTCTAAAGACAAGTTTTACAGAGGTATTGTACTAACCGTGAAGTGTTACCCTCTGAGAAGAGCTGGTACAGACAGCATTCTCTGTCCTTATAGTCAGTCAGCAAGCATTTAACCAGCATCTACTGTTGGAGACATAGCAGGGCACTGTGGGAACTACTGACCTGCAGTGTCTCTGTTGGATGAGAGTTGCTGCAGCCCTGGAAAAGGGGGGATGCTACAGGTGGCTCTCAGAGATCCTGAGGGACTGAGGGGATCAATGTGATTCTAAGTGAAGAACAAAGAGGACCCACAAAGGTGGTGACAGCTGTGACCCCAGCACTCTGGGAGGCTGAGGTGGGAGAACTGCAAGCTGGAGCCCTGCCTGAGCAAGTTTGTGGCTTAAGGAGACCCTGTCGCAAAATAAAGAAAACTGAGGACATGGCTCAGCATGAAGGTCCTGAGTTCAATTCTCAGTAACAGCAGAGAAACAAATCATGAGCCTGCCATTTACAATCCAGATACTGGTCAGCGGGCCTGCCCAGAGGCACAGGAAAGTGATGGCTGGGGTGAGCAGCAGAGCCCACTCCGATGGCCGAATCATACCTAGTGTGGGAGGACCCACGCTGTCTATCGCCTCCATCTGAGCCTCAGCCTCACCTGCAAGTGGGGAGTTCAGCTGTTTACCCCAGGGCCTCCTGGTGCTCAGGTCTGGGCCAATACGCAGTGGCATTGCGACTGTGGCTGTCATCTCCTGGTCTTCGGTCGCTACGGAGGACTCAACTCCACCAGGAAGAGACTGCAGGGAACTGGAAAGTGGAGCAAAGCAGGGAGAATGGGTCACAGGGACTGTGGGTGAGAGCTCTGGTGCGGGGCTGGGGAGCCAGGGGAAGCCGTTTTTCTGTTTTCTAAAAATTGATGTATAATTGACATCAAAGGTTCAGTTCTGAAGTGTTCTGTGTTGAGTGCGATAATTTTACAGATCTGTGGTGTTTTTAAAACATGCTAGGAAACACATGGCATTGTCTCCGTCACTGCCTTCTTGTGAATCTACTGACCAAGAGCATGGAGTGTGATTCTGGAGACCAAGTCCCACAAAGCACCTGGCCCTCCCCTCCCCTTTCTTCTGCTCCCCTTTCTTCCCCTCTCCCTTCCATCTCCTCCTCCCTCTCCCATTCTCTCTGCCCCCCCCCCCTCCGCTCAGAAAACTCATTTGCTATTCTGTGAGGAGGCAGTTCCCATGCATGGTTATTCTAACTGATGGCCTGCTGTAATTTGGATCTGGAATGCATGCAGAGCTCTGTGTGAAGGC